AGGTAATACACAAGTAATGGTTAGAAGTAAATATTACAAAATTATAAAAACAAAAACCTTTTGGCATACTGGTATAAAAACATTAATACTGTTCGTTACAAAAACAAGTTTTAAATTGTCACACAGATCAGATTCATACAATACTACATCCATGGTATGTAGACAGTGATAGGCTCTGAGTCTTTATTAAATAGCCAGTGAGATATGGAAGGAGTGCCATATAAAAAAAGATTAACACTGTAAAGAACCAAAAAGAAAAAAAATATATAAATATATATTCCAAACATTTTTCTTAAATACATGCAATTAATATTGCCAAATAGTGGTAATTTAGACTCGCCTCTACAGGTATACGATGTGGAGGTATTAAATGTAGTCCATAAATGAAGGAAGCTTGGTTAATTAGCTACATACAGCACAGAAGCTACTCATCTCCCCTCCACCACTAGTGTACGTTACTGTACAGGTGAACAGTTTGGCAATCAAAAACATAAACATGCACAATCTAATGCCCTTGGTGTGCAAAAACTGCTTAGGTTTCTTAAAACCTAATCTAAGGCTATGTTTACACCTTTGCAAAATGTTAACATAAAAAAAGCATGTTAATGTGCATTGCAACAGTGCAGCCCATTCATCTTTGTGAACTCCCTGACACATTAAAGCACCAAAAATGTGCATGTACTTTTTTTTTTTTTTTTTTTTTAAAGACCGTACAGTGCACTTGTGCTGGCAAGTTGTGCTGGGGTGCCATTAAATTTAGGTATGGACTTTTTTTTTTGAATAGTTACATTGGTCCAGCTTAGAGTAATGTATGTATGTATGTATGTATGTATGTATGTATGTAGGCATGCATGCGCCAGACTTGGCTGATCTCCATGTAGGCTAGAAATCACTGCAGCACGCACCACTATCACAGCGATTGCCACTAGATTCCAGGTCCTGTGCTAAGTGGTTGCCCTGCTGTTTAGTCAACTCAGGTTGTCACTTGCTTGGCATAAGTGTCATTCGGAGAACATTGCATTTTCTCAATGAATGCAAAGTAATCTGTTTGGACAAGGTGAAGATTGTGACATCATCACCCTGCCTCTCCAACTTGTCCAATCAGAGAATGCTTTGCATTTATTGAGAAAATACAAAAAGCATATTCTGAAAGGCAACCTTGCTGAGCAAGTGACCTCCTACAGTCACCAAGCGGCACAGCAACTGCAGTGCCGATTACAGCGATTTCCAATTTCCACAGGGATCAGCTATGTATGAACATGTATACTTGCAGTGGTCCAAGCTGGATCAACGTATCTATAGAAAAAAGCCCATACCTAAACTTCAACTTTAATAGTTCATGTCACTGCAACATGCACATTTTCATGCATGCCAATGCACATTTCCACAGTGCAAAGGTGTGAATGGAGCCTAAAAGGTTTTTCTGAGTTGCAACTTGAAATGTACAAATCTAAAAGTCAGCTCACACTGTCATGTGAGTTCGTCTGAGCGTGTGCGCTCACCACAGCAAAGTTAAACCTTTTATTTGATAACTTTGTTTCTATTCAATCTACTTTGCAAGCACAAAATGCATTTGAAATCCCAGTTATTACTTTGTAAAAGTGGTGACATCATCACTGTGCTGTACACAGCCTGTGCAAAGTGCAGACCTGTGGGAGGGACAGGTCGATCCACTACAGGCTGCCTTCAGAAAACTAAAGTAGTAGACTTGATCAGTCACACTGTGTTACTGCACAGATCTGGAAGCTATATACATGCACACCAAGATTCAAGAATATGCCCCTTGTATTTAAGCAATATTTGATTATCCCGGAGTCCAGCTTATGCTGTATGCATACATTTTCGCCACACTGCATTAAATTTGTATGCCCCACCACTTTTTTTTTTTTTTTTTTTTTTTTTTTTAAACTATTTTGAGAATGTTCAACCTAATTGATGTGCAACCATTACTAAAGAAATACACGTCAACTTAAAGTTGTTTTATCTCAATATCTTTTTTGCATCAAAATATTCACCCAACAAAAATAAATTTCACATTCACTAATTGCGAATGGTCTTAAAAAATAGAAGGTTCACGTATAGAAAAAAAACAGCAAAATCAAATGGGGAAAAAAGTGAATTGTCAAATACTACTTTTGTGAATTTAGGCCAAAAGGTCTCATTTCTAAAAATGTGGTGCACAAATACTTACAATTTAACAACTTTTAACCTGCATTTTCCACACTGCTGTCCTTGACTCATTTATAAACGCTTCTTTGCGTGTTGTGGCGCTACGTATCATTTAAACACCACAAAATTTCAGCTGTTAGGTTTACAGACTGAATTCATTTTTTGTGTGTTTATGAAGCGACAAAGCTCTGTTTAATTCCATGCACTGCCAATCTACCTTGATATATCTAAAATATGCAAAGATAATTATCTTCACTTGTATTACACAAGCAGAAGTAGAGGGCACCATTGCTAAAGGGGACAGAGAGAATCTTATGCAACAGCCCTGGCACACAGAACAACTTTAAAAATTCAACAGTTGTATAAAGCTGCCCATACATTATACAATTTTCTAATTAAACTTCCTTTATATTAAGTCCTAATGCAAACTGGATGTTTTTACAGCGGCTGTTTTTGGCTTTTAACATTTTTTTCTACAGCTAGTAAACCCCCGGCATGTTATCCTATGTGTCCATGCACACAAACTGTAATCATCGTTTTTTGGCTGGGATTTTTTTTTTGCCTGAAAAAAACAAAAAACAAAAAAAACTCTACTGGGTTTCTAGAGGAGTTTAGCTGTAAAAACGCTCTAACACTGAAAAACGCAGTAAGACACTTAACCCATTTAGGGTAAAATCGAAAAGTAACAACCCCACCTTCCCCTTCTACGCTGATACTCTACTCTGCACTGCGCCCCCCTCCTTTTGGCCAGGCAAGCACCAGTAGCAGCTCCAGGTGAAGCCTGTTAAGGTTGGGGGTCCCACTGGCTGTCCAGTTGCAGTTGGCAAAATGGCACCAGAAGCCCAGACAGTGGGTGATGCCTCAGGGGTTAGTTGTTGAAGGAAGAAGTGCAACCCTGGGACAAAAGATCGAGTGGGTGGTGCAAAAAGCCCCTGCTGGATTTGTGGGGGCAGCAAAGAAGGGGGAAAAAAAAGTGGGTGGTGCAACCAACTGAAAAGCAGGAGCAGCAGGACCTGGGCAGCAATTATCCATGCATCTGCAACACAGCCCAATGCACATGGTGTGAATGGGTGCTTAAATTAGGTCAACCTTTACTAACAACGTTTCATTTTTTTTTTTTTTTATTTTTTGCACATCTGTTTTTCTTTGCTCATTCTACTGTATCCCCTAGAGGAATAAGTGCAGGCAGAGAATGAGTGTGTCAGTGCAAGGAATTCACAGAAATTGTTGTAGACACGTTCACAACGGGTAGGCATATGGGAATGTATGAATCTGAACTTTTAATACAGCTGTGAATGAATTCAAAACCACTGCATTAAAACCAGGCAAGTGTAAGTTATTGAGATATATTGACTAAGTAAACAAGCTGGAGGAACTGTGTATCACTCAGATTTTTGATACCTAGGGAATCTGTCTATGGAGAAAGTGATTTTATTGCTTGTAGTGGATCATTTGTTAGTATAATTTGATTGTTTTTGGGAGTATCTGGGTATTTACTGTAAATTTGCATTTTTGGAATTTAACCTAGTTGGGAGAAAAAAGTGGAAAAAAAAAAATCATGGATCTTTAATAACTTAATTTACATGCAAAGAAAATCCTTTCCAATAAATGGTTTGTAAAATTCTTGCTCTATTTATAGAAGCCAACCCTGATTTGATCACACCATCAAATGGTCATGTCCATGTCATGTTTAAATCCAATTGATTTTTAAGGAGGCAGCCATTTTATAAATGACACCAAGTAGAAGCAATCATAGAAAAGGTGGGGTATTGACTGCAGACATCCCTTTCTTTCCTACCAACTAGACTAAGCAAGACAAGACTAGGCCTTCACAACCATGTGGAATGTAACATTTCAATTTTTAAAGTTAAAACCGTTCCATGTAAACAGCATTGACATGAAATATTTCATTTTTTTGTTAAACCTCTTGCAGACGTCACAATGCATATATGTGGAAGCAGGAAATGTGTACTTTAACGCTTAACTGCTGCACATATGCATCTGTGAAAGCCTGCGGTTTGGTCACAAAAGCGCACTCATAACATACTGACCGAGATCCTGGCCCAAAAAAGTAGAACAAAAAATACCTTCATTTTACACAATTGGAATAAACAGTTGGCCCTGTGTCAGCACATCCACACTTCCATGTGACAGCACTGGTTCTTTCAGCGGCTAACCACCGAGCACCAGTGCTTTCATGTTGCAGAAAGGTTTGATGATAGAAAAATTGAATGTTTAGTAGGACCACAAGCTACACAGTTTGTAGCAAATCTAAAGTAGATTGTATAGAGGTTGCAGAATTTTATCATCATGTGTGTATGTGTGTGTATGTGTGTAGTAGCACTAGTCAGTGGCAAAGCCAACAACCAACTATATTGTAACGATGGCAACAATGTGCGGTCAGATAATTTGATGCAGAAATATTTGACTTATAGGATTACAAATATTAACAAAAGCTTCCAAACTGTAAAATGACAGGAAAATTATGATTTTCCAATCATGGAGCAAATGTTTAGGCTGACTATGATGGTATAATCATTCCTCAAACTGCATTAAAATGTACACAAAATGGTTTCCTTTATCTAAATGGACAATGTTTCCGATATTACCATCCTTTTCAATGCCTTGGGTATCTCATGAGAAATATCCTGTATTTGACATAGAAACTGATGAACTGACCTTAGCTGAGGGTCAAACAGGACTGTTTGAAGATCAGTATGAGATGTGACTGTCTACATGAGTCCAGTACTCTGCTGCTCTCCCTTACAAAACATCCTGAGATTGTTACATCTATATGGCCCATAGAATTTGATTAGCAGGAAGAAAAAGCATCAACCTGCATGGTCTGATCCAGCCTCTGCCCCACCACCTCCAAAATCAAACAATGGTTCTGCCTCCACACTTGCATGGGCTAGAAAATCTTCCAAGACTTTAGCTGGATCTTGCAAGAAGACCACCATCACTGTGATGTTGTCACTAGAGCCACCCTCTTTTGCTGCAGACACCAGCCTCTCAGCAACATGTTGTCCATCTCCATCATTCTCCTGAAGGTGGCCTAGAACAAGGCTGGGTACCTCAGAAGATGTCACAGCATCGTAAAATCCATCACACGCCAAAACCAGAAAGTCTTCAGTGCCACTGAAAATGTGAGTGGTAACATCGCCTTCTCCAGAAACGTACGGCTTTTGGTCAATATCACCTGGAAACAGGAATACACTGTTACAATAAAGCAGAAAACCGCCCACTGCCATATAGAGAAAAGAAAAAAAAGAAAAGTAAACGTATAGTAGACTATGAGGGGGGGGAAATCAGTTTTGTATTAGGCTCCATTCACACTAGGGCTTTTCAAACCGCGGATGAAAACACGCTGGGAAAACCATGCATTTGTGTGTTCAGGTGGCCTACATTTCAATGGCACCTGAAAACACAGGGCTTTTTTGCCACGATCGTGGCGTATTTTTCCACACAACAAACATGCCGCGATCGCAGCAAAATTGCAGGATGGGCGACGCCAAAAAAACTGTTCCGGTACCTTTCTAGGGTATCATGTGTCCCACAATTTTGTTTGCGCAATCGCGGCGTGTCTATCATGTGGAAAACGCTTCACGACCGCAGAAAAAAACGCCCCATGTTTTCAGGTGCCACTGAAATGAATGGCACCTGAACATGCAAATGCATGTTTTCACATTGCGTTTTCCAATCACTGGCAGAATTACATGAATTCTACCCGCTATTTGAAATGCCCTAGCATGAATGGAGCCTTACCCATAAAATCCTTTTCTTGGACACAGGATAGTATTCTGACACCTTTAGAATTGGACACTGGCAATGCAAAGCTGTAAGGACTTCAAAGTAGAAATTCTCGTTCTCTTAGTATGCCTCCATTTTGCAACAAGCAATGATACAGGATTCATAGGAATGAGAACAGGACCTGTCCCCTAATTCCCTCCAAGAAAAGGATTTTACAACCCTATTTTCTTAGCCACACATTTTAGGGGACACAGGATAAACAATGAGATGTCCGATTGAGGGATGGGCAAAAGCAAAACAGGCCCACAAGGAAAAATCACAGGTAAACTAAAGCTGAAGAAAGCCTACAGCACCAACTGAAGAACCTGATAAAATTAACAAATGTATGAACCGAAGACCAGATGACAGCTGTGCAAAACGATAATGATGCCAGATAACGATAAGCCAATGAAGCACTAACTGACCTAGAGGCAAGTGTTTTAGCTGCGAAATGGGAACCATGTGTCTGAGATCATAAGCTTTAATAAGCTGACGAATCCACCTAGCAAGAGTGGAAAGGAAACCAGGCTGTCCCCTATGGGAACCATCCCAAACAGACTAATGAAAAGGAGCTGTAGCTGAAAGATGAACACGAACAGTGCACACTACATTCAAACAGAGGGCTGAAATCTCTTTAGCATATTTAGTAACAGGACAGAGATTGCAGAAAAATGTCCTAGTTAAGGTCAAAAGAAACAACCTTGGGAAAAAAAAAAAAAAAAAAAAAAAGACTCTGGGCCTCAAAACAACCTTGTCCTTGTGTAGCACAAGAGAAGATTCTAAGCAGGTTAAGGCTGCAAACCTAAAAACCTCATCTTGCAAAAGCTCTGGTGACAGAAAAGGCAATCTTGCCTGTACTAAGATATAGGGATATTACTTAATAGCGTCAAAATGCAGTCGCTGAGGAGTCAAACGAACCAGGCTGAGATCGCAAAGACTCACAAGGGAGTGTACATGAGGAACAATGTGAGTGATGCCCAGTATGAAGGCCTTCATAGGATAGGAGGCAAGCAGCCTGTGAAAAGAACTGCCAAGAAAGAGGTTTGACTCTTGATGGAACTCAAAACAGCAAAAGATGATCCAGACTAGACTGGAGAAGGGAGAGAATTCATTCAACAGAGGGATTGCATGTCATGGTCTTGCACCAAGAGAAATATGCCTTCTTTTCCAATAATTTTTAATAAAAATGCAGCATTCATTAAAAAAAAAAATTACACATATACTGTATAAACACACAGTATAAATGTTACAACTTGAATACTTTTCTGTGGGCGTTCTAGACATATAGGGCAATTAGTATTCAGTATTCAAACTGCAACATTATTTGTATCGTGAAAGTGTTAGTAAGCATACTCGCATTTTTAGAAAAAAATCATTGTAAATGAAATATGGTAAGTTGATGGACTTTGTGAGAAGTTGATTTCCTAGCTTTTAGGAGTCGAACCAGACCCCCAGTACCTCAGGACTTTTTTTTTTTTTTAAGGAACCTTATGATGTTCAAATGCCTTCCTTGCCAGTTTGGTGCAATTAAAATCATCACAATGCCCTCCAATTTGATCCTGTGTAGTAAGCAAGGATGGAACCTAGGAGGAGGAAAAGCGTAGACCAGGGTGAATTGATTCCATGGAGTCACCAGCACATCTACTGTGAAGGCTAAAGGATCCTCAGACCCGGAGACAAACTTGGAAGCCAGGTCTATGTTCGGCATTGCCCATATGCGACAGAGGTGTTAAACCATCAGGGGATGAAAAGACAGTTCCCCTGAGACCCAACAGTGACTCAACTGAGGAAGTCCACCTGCCAGTTTTCCACATCCTAGGATATGCACTGCAAACAGGATTGGAACAGAACATTCTGGTCAAGCCAGAACCTGAATTTCAAGACATCTGGTTCTTTGCCAATTATGGATTTAAGCCACTGCCATAGCACTGCTTGACTGAATCCTGGTCAGATGACCTTGTAGACAAGAGGTCTAGCGTTGAGGGGATAACCAAATCACTTTGACTCCAGATTTTTTTTCTTTTTAAATCTCCCTGTACTGAGTGGGTTTCTAGAAATCCATTCCATCGCCAATCTTGTGACCCACCTTGCCAAGACAAGGCTGGTCAGGTGGTACAGGATAATCCAGAGACTGTGCCCTCTTGTCCCATGCTGCCACAACGTTAAGCAGCTATGGTCTGGATTGAAATTAAAGTTGTTCTAAAAGGTTTAAAAGATTATTTACCTTAATGCATTCTCGGCAATCAACCTTTGAGCACCATCACACTGCCGCAGTGTGTTTTTTCTGCACTGCAGCTTGCCCGCATGTTTGGAGCAGTTAGCGGACTTTTCCCCATAATTATAATGGGTCCTGCATGTTTGGTACACTTTCTGAAACCAAACCAAAGATGCAGCATGCAGGAGTTTTGGTGCACCGACAGGGGAAAAACTTTTTTTAAAAAAAATCCAGGCTTTTCTTCAGATGGTTCTCAACATGGACAGGGGCTGTGACTACCACAGGGAGGGCCCTCTAAAACACCTCCACCATAGTGCAGGGGGGGTCAGTAGCCTGACTGATCGTAGTAGAGCATGTATTGGAAAGGTTTTGAATAGTTGGGAGCTTTTGAGGGAAGCCAGACTAGCAACCATAGAATACAGACACGTGTTGCTCCGAGCTCTAGCCATGTGTGAACTTTATCAATAAAGTACCTGAAATGCCATTAACCTGGAAGGCAGCACAGGGGACTGATCCTACTAAGGCACAAAATCATAAAGGAAAGGAGTGATTCTTCCTTGCCCTCAGCTGCATATGCAATGGCAGCTGCAGGAGTATGAGAAAGACTCTGGTGCAGAGGGTGTACACAAACGCTTTCAGCTTATGTGTACGGAGTCAGCAATCATAAATGACCCTAAATCCAAGCGTGGAGAGGACGTTGTGTCTTGTGCAGGCGGAAAGCTGGAGAAACTGAGAAAAAATGCGAACATACAGGAGGGCATTTGTGCCGCAGTGCATATGCGCTAGTACCCTCCCCTAGGCACTCTCATCCCATAAGCCTATCACGCTCCAGCACACCAAATGATGTTCCTACCAAGCTGGAGTACTAGAGCTGTGTACTTTACCTCCTGGGGGAGGGGGTGTTCTCCAGCTAACAGACACAGCAACCACTTAAGAGGAAGCGGCAATGCATACTCCATCCACACAGCCTTCAATGGGCATTCTCCCTATTATGTCTTCAAGAAATGGTTTCTACCAGATAAGTGTACCTCTGCCACTGACCTGCAGCTAACTATGCACTACACAACATGCCTAGGTGAGTTCCAAATACAGAATCCTGCATCTTTTTCATGAAGGGATCTTGATACTGCTCCAAGGCAAGAAAAAAATTAAAAAATAAACAAAAAGGTAAAGCTCAGCAGAAAAGCCCTCAATTACATTAGCATGTAAAAGTTAATATGAGATTTTAGTGACTGGGCAAATTTCCAAACAACATTACCACCCTTTACTCATTTAGCATTGATCTTTTATAGAAAGAAAAAAAAAAAAAATACTGGATGAGGTCTGCTTACTCTTGAATAAATTCAATGTGCATGTGCCTCTCCAGCACCATTTCAGGTTGCAGGTGAACTGTAATCCTGCACTGCAGTTGTGCTTGTGCCTACCGGTCATCTTACACTGACCTCATCACTTCTGGACTGTATTAGCACGCAGCTGCTGGGCAGCCAATAGGAAGTGTCCACATTTTGCAGACAGTGATGTAAATCCCTGAAAAAGTTCCTCTTCCTTCATACAGAAGACATGTTTTAAGATCACAATGTCATGTCACCACAGAATTAAAGTGTTACTAAACCCACAATGGTAAAATCAGTCTGTATATGCAGTAAAACATGCTTGTTATACTCACTGTGAAACATAAGGGGTTAATCCTCCGTATTGTATAAAAAGGCTGATTGATCTCATCTTCTCTGATTCTTCCCTTCTTCTACTGTCCCCTATCCATCTGCTGATAGTACAGAGCTCTGGGAGTCACTCTGCACATGCTCAGTTTAGTGTGTATGGGTAGAGAGCTTTTCTTTTCTTTGGAAGGGTGCATGTGATCAACACAGGGCCAATCAGCACTGTTCAGACAGAGGGTCAGGAGTTATTCAGCCTCATAGGACAGTCAGAGGAGAATGAGGAGTTTCTACGGAACTGTGTCCAGAGCATCGCTAGCCTTTAGATGCTGATCCAAATTTCCCCAACTTACATAGTTGGTATAAAGGTATAAAACATAGGCATCGGTGGGATTTACAACACTGCTCTTTTACTATAGTACCACTCTAGCTAGCAAATAATGTCAGAGTCAAAATAAATAAACAACAATTTGTATAATGTACATACCAATAGCTCTGGATACAGCAAGGGTACCATTGACCCGCCAGCACCCCATATAAGTAACACAGCCACCAAGAGCTTCTATTCTTTCGCGTTCATCCTATGAGAGTGGCAAAACCCAAAACATGAAATGTAACAGTCTGCTGTAAATATACTGAGATTTTGTAGAGCTATAAACAAGGTTTTCAGATGGCCATATTTATTACAACCGCACTGCACAATCTTCTTTCGATGTATCAAGAATGATGTGATTTCTATACAATCTACTAGTCGCTTGCACTACATAAGTGTCACTGCTGGTTAATTTTTTTTTTTTACCAAGAGATCAACCTTTTTTTGGGGGGGGGGGGGGGGGGGGGGGGGGGGGGGGGGGTGAGGAGAGAGAACCCCCCCCCCCCCATCTTAAATGAAAATAGAGGATTGCGCATATGAATCACTTAAAATAGTACATTTATTTCTGTAATCACTAAAGCAATACAAAATTTTAAATTTATCAGTTTCTCTAGTGGATCAGCTCTGCTTCTACATGCCTCCTAGATCTCTACAAGAATTTTTTTTAAATCGTATGTCATCAGCAATTTCCTAGCAAACACACTTTGGCTACACAATGCGCTATATGATGCACTCTACTAAACAAAGCAAAAAAAGCACTTTACTGAACAATGCAAGGCCTGGAAGCTGAGCAGATTAAACCTTGGGCTGAGCTCTAGACCCCAGCTGTCAATGAAAGCAGCTGCACTACTTCATACTCATCCACATGTATGCCGATAATGAATAGAGCAATGCTCATTAACGTGCATATAGTATTTATGACGGTTTTCATTGAGTTTATGAAGCATTGAAAGCTTCAAGAATCCTTGATAAATGGCCATGTGTCGCTTTTCTAGTGGGAAGTGCCTAAAAGGGGAAGTGATGTAGAGGAAATTCTCTATACTGATGCGTGGGTAGGGTGTGGTGTGACAGCAGACATTTTTGTCTCTCTCCCAATGCCCAGCTAAAAATGTATAAATTGTTCACTAACACACCATAAATGCTCTTCGTGCTGTTAAGGTGTGGCTACAGAGCACTACCACTGCATCATACAATGAATGCAGCATGCGGCTTAATTTTTAACACAACGCAATACAACGCTACCACTCCTGTGTGAACAGCACCGTGTGTTGCCATTGTAATATTAATGGCAGCTGTTGAAAAGCAGTTTTGAGGTTTTAAAAATGCTGAATAAATACGACACACGTTAAACCCTTACTTATACATTTATCCACTTCCATTAGCCAAGTATGTTCCGACAAAATGTACCAATTGTTACAAGCAAATTTACCTATTCTTACAACCTATTAATATAGGCAATTAACCCTTTTCCCATGTGCCATCTGTATATAAACACATTCTCCTAGTAAATTTCCAGAACCTTCAGAGTACCACAAAAATAACTGAGCAGCTCTAGAGCCACCCAATTCGCTTTTTACCTGAAAGCCTATAGTTCATTCTGGAAATCCACACCAAGCTCATGGCTGCAGCAGCAGCAAGCTGACTTTAATCCCATGAAACCCATGATGTTGTTTCTGAACATAAGTTTGTAGACAAGGGGTTAACGCAATGCCTAGTTAGAAATTTGTGGGGTTTTGGTTTTTTGCTGCTTCACAAGCATGCATAGATTTTTGCCTAACACATTAGTCTCATCTCTATTTAACCTGCTTGCCATAGCCAAAATGCACTGGTTATATGCATCAAAACCTACACATAAAAAAAAAAAAAAAAAAATTAAACAAAAAGATAGATATATCAAAATGATTATATATACACACATACATATACACGCAAACAGAATTCCAAGTCTCACCTCTCGCTCTGGCTTGTGGGGCTCCATGAGAATGACTGGACTTCCCTGCTGTACAAGGAGTGCTTGGGAATCTCCCAGCCATGCCACATGCAGGCGCTCACCTTCCAACAGGGCGCACACACCAGTGGTACCACTGCGTAGTCTCTGAAGACAGATGAAATTCCAAGTCAGACATCTGTATTTCTAAATACAACTCTTCATTGTCCTCAGATTGCAACATTTTCACCTTCTGTTAACTGGAGGAATCCAAAGACGGCAGTTCAACAAAAGCAGCTATTCCTCACCTGTGTGAGCATCACTCCTACAAAACCAGACTTCGGGACATGATCCAAAATGATGTAAGGGGTACGTCCCAATAACAGTAAAGTCACAGGGGTCCTGTTGAGTTTTCACTAAAAATGTGAAAATTAAGTAGTGCTATGGAAATCTGGCAAGTGGGATAAAGCTCCACTGTAAGACTGGAGGGCATTTCACACAAACCTTGCCCGCCTGCCAAACAAATTAAGGTGTACTATGTAGTGATGAAGTACATATAACCATTTGTTTCTGTCTGTATAATATGCTGTCGATATACAGTACCTCAGCTGAATTTTAAGCCGAACTCTGGACAAATTAAACATTTTCAGGATTGCAGCAGCAAGCTCATTGTCTAGGGCAGGGGTAGGCAACCTGTGGCTCTCCAGCTGTTGCAGGACTACAAGTTCCATCATGCCTCTGCAAGTCATAGCCGTAACTGTCAGTTTTGTAATGTTGCAATGCCTCATGGGAAATGTAGTTCCATAACAGCTAGAAAGCCGCAGGTTGCCTACCCCTGGTCTAGGGAAATAGTTTTATTCTGTATCCTTTAGAAATCCTCCTTTCACAACAGCTGCAATGATCTATTTCCCATTCAGCAGACTGGTAACCCTAGCCAGCTATCTATGCATTGGTTGACTGGTCACCTTACTACCCTATAGTAGAAGAATCACTAGTCTCCTATTATATAAGCACCCTAATAGTGATGCTGCAGACACATACGTATACATGGGTGATAACACGATTGTTGTATGTCTGATCTTTGTGTCAAAACTTTACAATGAATGCAAGGACGGAGTAAGGATGCTTTCACACTGCTCCATTGCAAAAACACATGTTTTTGATGTGTTTTTTGGTGCATTTTTCACCTGTGAGAAAAAAAAAAACATGCACCTGAAAAAAAAAAAAAAAAACGCACCGAAACGAAACCTTGGGTGCATTTTTTGTGTTTTAGCTGTATCTTTCATGCGTTTTTCACTCATTTCAATGAGGAGGTGCGTTTTTGGCTTTCTTAACACAAAAACAGATCAGTTTGAAAGCAGCCTTAAAGAACAGTGATACTGCCGGCAAGTATGTTGAGGATGATAACAGGGGAATGTACTACTCTCCCCTTGTAGTCACCCATACAATTGCTAATAGAATCCCTTTAAAACGCTCTCCAAAGGGCTCTTGGGTGTTGCAGAATTAGTTTTTTTGTGATTCGTACAGGAATCGCACCTCATTCCTGTGCAAATCACATGCACTTCTGTGCGGTGCGATTTGAGCCCATTCATTTTGTATGACTTAACTCATACCACACCGCATCTTCACGAAAAAGGTGCAGGAACCTGTTTTCTTGCTGCACTGGAATCAGATCGCATGGTTATTCATAGCCACGCGATCAGATTTAGGCAAATGAACTGCATTTTGCGACCTAATTTAGGGGTGTCAACATTGATACCCACAGCAGATCGCAGTGCAATTGCCATGCAGTGCGGGAAACGCACAGGAATTGTTGCCTTTTCTCGCACATTAGTGTGAACCCAGGCTTAAAATCCATTAGACACTCACAACAGAGGTGCAGACGTGTTGGTCTATTTTTCAGTATATAAGCCTAACAAGAAAGTAAAGTACACGTTGAAATGCACCTTTTCAGGATAACAAATGGTCAATTTAACCACTTCGCCTCTCACACCTGTTCACTGCCTATGGACCAAAGCAATTTTTACCATGGACCTGTTTATTTGGCAATAACTGTCAATACTAAAGATAAACAATGTAATACATATTTTTTAATTTATTTATTTATTTTTTAAGGACAAACAAGGCTTCTTTTCGTGATATAGTTTTGCAACAATTTTTTTTTCTTAGACAATAAAACACATTTTCTTTTTCTTGGAGGGGTGTGAATGTAGAAATAGTGTTACCGCAGATAAAAAAAAATGTACATATTTGATTCTGTAGTTTGTCCTGTTTAAAACGACACTGAAATTATGATTCTGGTAGAAAGAATTGCAAAGTTTCTTATTCAATTTTGCAGTTTAGATCGAAAATGCGTAAATATATGTTAAATATGCAAAAATATAAAAAAAAAATTAAATTAAGTATTAATAGTTAAGATGAAAAAAAAATTGGCAAATATTAGCTGGAGAGTGACCCAGTCACCTTAAAAAAATAAAAATAAAAGGGATAGTGTAAAAATAAAGTAATAATAAAATAAAAAATTTTTACAATGTCATCTTGCACAGTGGTGAACAAATAGAGAGGTCATGCTCACATATGTAAACACTGTTGGCACCACACGTGAGTATCAGGGCAAACGCCAGAGCAATAATTCTAGCACTAGACCTCCTCTGTAACTCAATTGGTAAACTGCAAAAATTTTAAAGTGTCGACTATGGAGATTTTGAAGTACCATAGTTTGGCACCAAACCACGAGCGTGTGCAATTTTAAAGCATGACAAGTCCGGTATCCATTTACTCGGCAATAGTCCCCTACATATGAACGTGCAATTTGCGAACATGTGCTTGCATGTTCAATCATGTAAAGCTGGGGGTTTTTTTTTTTCATTCAGCCCAGCAGGCTGTACGCAAAAAAAAAAAAACCTGACAGATTACCGTGCCGACACAAGTAATGTTGGTGCCGCGATATCCACTGCTGTGACTTTGACTTTGTGTCCTGACAGGGAGACTCTACCTGCCTGAACATACTGATCAGCATTCACACCTATTGTCTGTAAGCACCTATCCTTGCTGGACCTATGAACAAGTTGGACTTACAAACGAGTTCCTTTTCTGGAGCTTGTTTGTAAGTATGGGACTTACTGTATATTGTACTGCTGGCATTACAATATACTCATAAAAGAAGTCAGTATACCGGGGAGTTTTGCAGAAGTAGGACAAACAGACTGGATGTGCTACACACGTCTTGTGTACAATGATGGCCTTTTTATGGGTGTGTCTAGAATGCCCAAAGTCTTTAGTTAAAAGAAATTAAGCTTTTGAAAGCATTTACCTCTCTCTTTGCTTTCCTGAGGAACATGGCATCTGTACGCTGAAATGCTTCTTTTAGGGCTTTGGCTGGGTCAGACACCAACGCTTCATGACGAGCCAGAGAAAACATGGACATGAGTGGCAGCATAATTAGCAGCATCTATTCCACCATGTCCATCGAAAACAGCAAAGTATGATCGTGCAACACCATCCTAAAAATAAAGAGCATTTTTAGTAGGATTTTCTTTTAAATAACTAGTAAAGTTACCCAGTAATTGGTCATTTTACCAAGCTTTAAAACATTTGCACATAATGCCATATCTGACTACATCTAAAAAGATTCTTTTCCAATTTAAATATCCTAAGAACAAAACCAAAATATATTATCTTAAGCAGCTGGATTAGCTCTAAAGTGCAGATGGAGTTTAACTGCCATTACACCGGTAAATCCCATCACTCTTGAAAGCACAGCCAATGAAGTATGTGGTGTACTTTATAGACCTTTATGCTAGACTGGACATATCACAGCCACCAGGTAATCATGACCCCAAAATAAAATTCCCCTAGTGACCAGCATTTCATTACCAGGGCTGGCTAATAGTGATGAAATGTAAATCTGCAATCTTTGGCAAATCTTGTTAAAGGATAAGTTCACCTTTCGTAACATGTTACATTACACCCATAATCAGGGTGTAACATGTTATGATCTGACTGGTCCATCCCCGCTGACACAATTTTAAAAAGAGCACCCAGCCACACCATTCATTCACAGCATTCTGTGAAAAGGAAAACTACAAGTCCCGGCAGCCTTTTCAGCTGTCGGCTTGTAGTTTTCAGTGAACTACCATGGTGTACCACAGCCATGGTAGTTCATTGCGCCTTCCTGTCAGTATTATCTGCTTGCTTGTATGGGATGTACTAGGAAGCAGATATACGGATAGGTCAAGTAAGGACTTGCATGTCACCAGCGACCTGCTGATTGCTGATGCAATGCTTTAGAGGCTCCACAAACAAAAAATAATCAATGCATTTTTTTTACCTGCAAAAAAATGTGTATTTATTATTTTTTGTTAAAAAGTGAACTTACCCTTTAATGATGGATTAGTTGCCCTAAATTCTGGCTTGTCATTAAATGACCAAGGTGTTAATCCCAGGCTAGCTATACACTGCGCAAATTTTTACCTGGTTCCTGGCCTTGTCAGTGTCCTCCGACCTGACATCCTTCAACTGAAGAAAAAAAAAATCCAAGAAGCTAGGCAGAAAAACCTTAACCAAACAGTGGCTGCATCCAATCAGATGCACTTGATAGTCAGGAATTCTGAAAGCTGCTGTCAGAATGCAATAGCCCAGCAGAGCAGCTTCATCCATCTGCACTGTTAGTACAGATGGAGAAAATGGAGAGATCTGTTAACTTTCTGATGAAAAAACAAAAAAAAAAAAAAACCCCACACACAACAAGCCCCACCACTGTATGGCCAGCTTTAGCACCAGAGGGGTAGAGGCAGGGAGCAATACATACAGCACTAAGTACTGGATTTGCTGCGCAAATATGTTTACCTGTAATGTTGCTGGTGAATGTTAGAATGAATTCCTTCTTTTCTAGCAGTTAAACTTCTGGACTGTATTGTCAGGGATTTTTTTTTATTAGTGGCTGTGGGTACAACAGGTGCTGTGCAATATACTCTAGGTTTTTTTAATTTTTTTTTATTTTATTTTTATTGTAGTGCAGCTTACTAATATTTAGATGTGATGACTGTATTGGTTTCCTTTGTTTGACTCTCTTCTATTTTCATCTGGTGATTCGGCCTGCAACGCTGCTGTTTTTCAGAAGCTCAAGCTGTCCTGTAGAATGTATTAGCTTACATGGATGAGACCATCCATTTCCACTGGCAGGGGTGATTAAAATTATCAGCTTTTATTCATGTAAACCCATTATCCCAAAACAAAAGAAATGTTTTCTGTAACTGATTATAAAGTGTTAGCTGGAGTTTGGCTTCAGTTTGTAATCTGCTAATACATTTAACACTCCTATCCCCCCAGACTAACAATGCTTCTGTCTGCTGTTTCTTGGCTCAATCATCCAAAGTGGTTTCTCACTAATACAGTAGGTGTGTTACTAGCCAGATCACCAGGAGAAAAACAGAGGGAAAAAAGCCAAAGAAAAGGAAAGCATCTAAAGATTGATAAGCTGCAATATAAAAAAACTTTTGGTTTGGATTTTAATAAAACTAAGGTTTAGCTACTTCCAATATCAGACACTTTCACCCCCTTCCTGCCCAGTCCAATTTTCAGCTTTCAGCTCTGTCACACTTTGAATAACAATTGTGCTGTCATTCATCACTGTACCCATATGACGTGTATCTTTTTTTCCCCCACAAAAAAAAAAAAAAAGTTTTTATTTAAATTTTTCCTAATGAAAAAAAAAAAAAAAAGTTTCTTTGTTATAGAATTATGCAAATAATCACTCTTCGTAAAATTTAGGCCAAAATGTATAATTCTACATTTCTTTGGTGAAAATAACCTGAATCAGTGTTTATTATTTGGTCTGTAGGAAAGTTATAGCATCCACAAACTATGGTATATATATTTGAAACTTGAGCAATCCTGATGTACTGACAGCCTACCTCATTTTGAGGCTTGAAAATGCCAGGACAAATATGTCCCAAATGACTCCTTTTTTGGAAAGTAGACAGTCCAAGATATTAAGTAAGAAGCATGGCAGAGTTTTTTGAAGTTGTAATTTTTGTCATAATTTTTTGGAACATTAAAGAAAAAAAAAAATTCACAATTTTTTTTCTTTTTTTACATACTGTCACCAGTACGGTGTCATCATATAACTGGTCTCTCTGCCAGCACAGCCACATCATTCATAGGAATCTGTGAATTAATAAATTACCAGTCCCGTCTGCCATAACAGCAGACGGCTTGTAAATTCTCAAGGGACTGCGAGGGTGCCGATGAGCACCCTCGTAGTCCACTGACACTTCTTCCAGCCTTTCAAACAAAGTCTGTACAGAGGGCATGGGCAATAAAGCTGAAGGAAATGTCTGCAGGAGCCTGACATTGCACCCATGATCTACGCACAATACTAAATGCACATTTTGTTGCTCCAAAAAATATGTGCATTTATTATTTTTTCCTAACAGGTGAACTTGGCCTTTAACATAGTTTACATGGATATGTTTTATTGGATAATTTTGATATATGTATACAGCTTTGCTCATGCCAGTGTTTCTTTGTTGATGTTAAAACTAGAACATAAGCATATGATGCAAGCAAGCTTGAGAAGCTTAACGTTGTCAAACCTTTTGCAAAGAAAGCAGCCATTCATATTTACCGTAATTCCAAAAAGCTGATTAAAATCCAAAAGCATCACATGCCGATCCTCCATTTTCCTCCGTGTATTCCGGATTGCATGGACAGACACGTGTAACATACATTCAGAAGTAGGTGGAGAAGGCAGCTGCTTTTGCCATTGACTGCTGATATCTTTGACACAGGTAAGGCAACGCTGGAATAAGGCATCTGAGCTGAGAACTACAGAGATAGAGAAAAAAAAAAAAAGTTTACGTTTAGTAAGGAACCAAATATCTATCTACTGTATATCTATCTAAAAAACCTCAGATATATAGATCTATCTAAAAAACCTCAGACTTGAATTGTACACATACATTAACTACAAGTACCGGTTACATGCCCTAAATCTGTACAGGAACAGTGCAAAATCTTGTTTAAGCCAGTAAATGTCACATAAATAGAATGTTTACTACCAAACATCTCCAAAAAGCAACTATGAAAAGCGAAGTACAGATATCATAGTACGGCTACACAACAGTTTTTGGATTTAAAATGAATGAAATAGAGTGCCAAATGCCTTCAGCAGGCTACTGTGCTTTGAATTCCTAAATAATAGTGGAAAAATGTTCTCATGTCAATGCAATATACAGGATATGCTGTGAAAATGCAGTACATTTTAATGCATGTTGAAATGCATGTCAACGGACGTCAAAAATGTATGTCAGTGGACGGAAAAAAAATGTATGCCAGCGGATGTCAGCGTACAACTAAAATGGATGGAAATGTACATCCATTTTCCATACATTTTAGCGCAAGTCAGTGTGAATTGGCCCTAAATCGAAAAGTGTTGCAGATCAGGCATACTTTAAATATGGTAGCTGCATTAGTTTCCTTTTTTCATACTCCATTTTCATCTAGTGATCCTGCCAGTAATACACTTTCTGTGCTGGGGTGACACCCACTGCACTGTCTATGAAGGAGTAGCGATGTCACCCTAGGACATGCCTACTAAACAGTTTTCTCTTCTCAAATAGTAGCGAGGAGTTCTCTAGTCCTCAGGGTTAGTGGAGAATGATATACAGTCAGGTCCATAAATATTGGGACATCGACACAATTCTAACATTTTTGACTCTATACACCACCAGAATGGATTTGAAATGAAACAAACAAGAAGAACTTTAACTGCAGACTGTGCCTCCCACTTGTTAAGGGACCAAAAGTAATGGGACAATTGGCTTCTCAGCTGTTCCATGACCAGGTGTGTGTTATTCCCTCATTATCCCAATTACAATGAGCAGACAAAAGGTCCAGAGTTCATTTCAAGTGTGCTATTATAGCAAAAACATTAGGCGTGGCCAAAACAACCGTTTGGAACATTCTTAAAAAGAAGGAACGCACCAGTGAGCTCAGCAACACCAAAAGACCCGGAAGACCACGGAAAACAACTGTGGTGGATGACCGAAGAATTCTTTCCCTGGTGAAGAAAACACCCTTCACAACAGTTGGCCAGATCAAGAACACTCTCCAGGAGGTAGGTGTATGCGTGTCAAAGTCAACAATCAAGAGAAGACTTCACCAGAGTGAATACAGAGGGTTCACCACAAGATGTAAACCATTGGTGAGCCTCAAAAACAGGAAGGCCAGATTAGAGTTTGCCAAACAACATCTAAAAAAGCCTTCACAGTTCTGGAACAACATCCTATGGACAGATAAGACCAAGATCAACTTGTACCAGAGTGATGGGAAGAGAAGAGTATGGAGAAGGAAAGGAACTGCTCATGATCCTAAGCATACCACCTCATCAGTGAAGCATGGTGGTGGTAGTGTCATGGCGTGGGCATGTATGGCTGCCAATGGAACTGGTTCTCTTGTATTTATTGATGATGTGACTGCTGACAAAAGCAGCAGGATGAATTGTGAAGTGTTTCGGGCAATATTATCTGCTCATATTCAACCAAATGCTTCAGAACTCATTGGACGCCGCTTCACAGTGCAGATGGACAATGACCCAAAGCATACTGCAAAAGCAACCAAAGAGTTTTTTTTAAGGGAAAGAAGTGGAATGTTATGCGATGGCCAAGTCAATCACCTGACCTGAATCCGATTGAGCATGCATTTCACTTGCTGAAGACAAAACTGAAGGGAAAATGCCCCAAGAACAAGCAGGAACTGAAGACAGTTGCAGTAGAGGCCTGGCAGAGCATCACCAGGGATGAAACCCAGCGTCTGGTGATGTCTATGCGTTCCAGACTTCAGGCTGTAATTGACTGCAAAGGATTTGCAACCAAGTATTAAAAAGTGAAAGTATGATTCTTCTGTCCCATTACTTTTGGTCCCTTAACAAGTGGGAGGCACATATGCAAACTGTTGTAATTCCTACACCGTTCACCTGATTTGGATGTAAATACCCTCAAATTAAAGCTGACAGTCTGCAGTTAAAGCACATCTTGTTCGTTTCATTTCAAATCCATTGTGGTGGTGTATAGAGCCAAAAATGTTAGAATTGTGCCGATGTCCCAATATTTATGGACCTGATTGTTAATCAGACATCACTAAATGGCGGACCGCAATCTGCATACGGACCAGGTGACAGTCCTGTCTGGACCACAGCCACACCACTTAGCAGCTTGAGTGGACTTCTCTCCTCCTGCAGCTGTTTGAAATCGGGAGGAATGGCAGGGTGGAATCCTATTCTGTATGCACTTGCCTGCCACCGCTGTAGTCGCCGCTGCTGTTGAAGTCACAGCAGGGAAGAGAGCGGGAGGAATGGAAGGAAGGACTCCTCTTCTGAATGTACCGGCTTGCTGCTGCTGCCAAACTCGGAGCAGGGAGGAGAGTGGGAGGCACTGCAGGTCTACATGGGGAGCAGGGGAGGGGAACCAACCTTTTATATTAATAAGCAGGTCACTCCCCTTTTAACAAGAATTGGGCATCTCATGCGATCAGTGGAGATTTTCTGCATCTCCTGCCCTCCTCTGAGTTCAGTGGTGGCAAGTCACTACATTCCTCCCACCTTCTTCCCTGCTGTGACTTCAGTGACAAGAGTGGCGACGATGACGTTGCTTGTGAGTACATGCAGAACGGGAGTCCACCCTGCCATTCCTCCCGCCCTCCACAATGCTGAGTTAAGGTAGGGGGAAGAATATGGGGGGAGAGGGAATCTGTGATATAGGGGCTGTGAAGTGAAAGGGGTGAGCTTTGAGGGTGCAGCTGTGATATAGGAGATGGGGGCTGTAATGTGAGAAGGAAAGCTGTGATATTGGGGGACGGTGATGTTAGAGGTAGAGCTGTGATATGGGGGGCTGTGATGTGAGAGGAGGGAGCTGTGATATGTTGGGTCTGTGATGTCAGAGGGGGGGGGGGGGTGACTGATGTGAGCGGGGGTTGTGATTGCAAGGGGGACTGTGATGTAAGCGGGGCTATAATGTTTGGGGGGCTCTAACGTGAATAGGTGTTTAAAACAATTTCCATTGTATATTTCTAAAATAAATTCTTTATTAACCACTTGCCCTCCAGAGGATTTATCCCCCTTCCTGCCCAGGCCATTTTTTGAAATACAAGGCTGCGTTACTTTAACTAACAATTGCGTGGTCATTCAACGCTGTACATATATGAAACCTATGTCCTTTCCCCCCCCCCACAAATAGAGCTTTCTTTTGGTGGTATTTGATCACCTCTGCGTTTATTTTTTGCACTATAAACAAAAAGACTGACAATTTTGAGAAAAAGAAAAAAAAAAAAAAAAAACACTGGGTGGGAACTGCCACTGACATCCCGACTGACACCAATATAGTGATCAGTGATAATAAAAAGCACTGACACTGGGCAGGAAGGGGCTAACAGCTGGGGGTGATCAAAGAGTTAACTGTGTGCGGTGTGTGTTTTACATTATGTGCTGTGTGTGTTTTTACTATTGAGACCTGCTGCTCTGTATTTCTCTGCTGTGCACAGAAATACAAAGCAGCATGTCCTTGCTGACAGGAGAGACCCGTGTTGTTTACATACAGGTCTCTCCCCTGACATCTTACCCGACGATCTCCGAGTGCCGACTGGCACCCGGTGATTGACAACCTTAACCGTCAATAGCGGCACAGGTATGCCGGCGCCCATGCTTCCTACCCGGAAATGTAAATCACACACACACGTGATTTTGCACAGCCCTGCCGCCCTGTAGCAGTACCTCTGCTATAGGGCGGCGGGCAAGCAGTTAAAGAAGGCAGCAGGGATTAAGGGCCAGTTCACACTACAAAAATGCACTCCAGATGCATTCCGCATACGTTTTTGCTTACAGTTCATTTCACACGCAGTTCTGGTGCAGTTTGCCATGTTCCAGTATGGTTCTGTGCAGAAAACAATGCAGTATGTTTTACTTTTTTTTCTGCACCGGAAACTGACTGGAACTGGCTGCACTAGTGTGCCATTGTAATACATGGAAAACACTGTGCATGCATTTTTGATGCAGAAAACAAAATGCACTAGAGTGCATCTAGTGTGAACTAGCCCCAAGACTGAACAATGGCATGGCAAAACCTGCTGGTTATACAGGACTGAGAAATCAGAACGCATGTATTGTCATAATAAATTCTCAGTAAATAGGGGGGAAAGGCAGAAACTGAGCTTAAAGCAGAACTCCATGCAAAAACGTTATTACGTGTCCTTGTTGCTGATTTCCTACCTTTACCAAATATGTCATCCATATTCTGGTAACTGAGTAGTTGCTCTGAAATAGCCTGATCATTTTCAAATCAAACCATTAATTCCCAGAGGTTTCCTGTTTGAAAGACTGGTGGCTGCTATTTCTCTATTTTGTCAGCCACCAGCCTCAGCACTTCCCTTTTGTAGTTCTATCTACAGCAAGCAGTGATGTACTTCCATCCCTGCTTGCTGTAGTGGGCGTACTGGGACTCAGACTCCCAGTCTGTACCGCCCATGGAGGTGGTGTCTTAGGAATGACAGTTCAGGATGCCCTTGGTCTGTCCAGCCTCCCCTATCCCCTCAATCTGAAGGAGCTGCTCTCACATGTCATTCACTCGCAGCCCCGCATTACCAGCACCCTCCACTGCCTGCACCAGCCGCTTTCATCTCCTCATTTTTCATCCAATGTTTCAATAGGAGTCCATAGCTACCCCAACCTCTCTCCTCCATTCGCCTTCACCATCAGCTAACACGGTCGGCATCAGCTGCTCTTCTCTCTCACCATCTCCCTCCCCCCCAGCCCTCACGTCATCAACTGGTCAGCT